GTCATCTCAGTGACGAAAACGGCCAGAACTTGGGCCTTGAGGGTTTTCTACCTTTGTAGACGATGTCGAACTCGGAGAGTTCCAACGACCACTTCAGCATGCGCCCTGCCATGTTGGGTCGGCCGAGCAACTGCTTGATGGGCTGCTCGGTCCTGACTACGATGGTGTGGGCCATGAAGTAGTGTCGGAGCCTCTTGGCCGTGTTGATGAGGGACATAGAGACTTTCCCGATCTGCTGATATCTCACTTTCGGGCCGTGGAGGGCCTTGCTCATGAAGTAGATTGGTTTCTGCCCGTCAGGGATTTTCCGTATCAGCACGGTGCTCACGGCCTCATTCGATACAACTAGGTACAAGTAGAGGGTTTCCCCGACTTCGAGCCTCGTCAAGACGGGCGATTCTGACAGGACACGTTTTAGGTGGAGGAGGGCTTGCTCACATTCCTCCGTCCATTCGAACGCAGCCTTCTTTCTCAGTAGTTTGAAGAACGGGAGGGCGTCCTGTGCGGATTTGAAGATGAAACGAGAAAGCGACGCGAGCATTCTGTTGAGGGACTGTATCAATTTCTTCGTGCTCGGTGTTGTGATCTCGGAGAAGGCCCGACATTTGTCTTGGTTTTCTTTGATCCCCCGTTCGGTCAGGTAGAATTCGAGGAACTTCCCTGCGCGTACCCCAAAGGTGCACTTCTACGGGTTGAACCGCATCCTGCACTTCCTTGTTGTCTCGAAGACTTTCATGAGGTGTGTCGTGTGGTCGACCTCCTTGCAGGATTTGACGATCATGTTGTCCATGTAAACCTCGAGCATGTCGCTGATCTCTCCTTGGAATACTTTGTTCATCATCCGTTGGTAGGTGGCGCAGGTGTTTTTTTATGCCGAAGGGCATTACGTTGTAGTAGTAGTTGCCCGACTCGGTCATAAGATTTGTGCTTTGCTTGTCGGCCTCGGCCATGGGGATCTGGTTGTACCCGAGTAAGCGTCCATGAAGGACAATAGTTTGAAACCCGTCGAGTTGTCGACGAGTTTTTCAATGTTGGGGAGGGGATAGGCGTCCTTAGGACATGCCCGATTGAGATAAGTGTAGTCAACACACATCCTCCATTTTCCATTAGAAGTTTTGACTAATACAATGTTGGACAGCCAGGTTGATTACCGGGCTTACGAAATAAAATTTTCCTCTAGGAGGTCTTTTACATCTTTTTCAGCCGCCGCCGACTTTTCAGGGGACTACCTATGTCTACATTGTACTACGGCCTTAGTGGCCGGGTTGACAGAGAGCTAGCGGCAGGTGACCTCAGGGTCGAGTCTGGGCATCTCAGCGGCGCTTCAGGCGAAGAGGTCGGCATTCTCACAGAGGCAGGCCTTCAACTGCTTCCTCGCTAGGTTGGGCAGCCCTCATCCAATCCTCACGGTATTTGTCGCGTCTGCTCCGAGGGTTACGATCTTGAAGTCCCCGTCTGGGATGGGGCGCGTTGGGTGGATAGGCTGCTTGTTGGTGATTGGAGGAATATCTTCGACTTTGTCCTCGTGATCTGGCTCTTCGGCGAAACGGTAGTCAAGGTCTACGACATCGACGTGATCCTTCAGTCTGTTCTCCTGGACGGTGGAAGGCTTAGTTTCTTTGGTCTCGGGACCAATCGTACTAAAGCCCTTCATTTCCACTTCAAAACACCGTCAGGAAGCTTCTATGTCCCCGTTAAGGGTGACGACGGGGTCAGGTTGATCTCATCGAGCTTAAGCGTCGAAAAGAGGTGGGTATACATGATGTCTATTGAGCTCCCTCCGTCGACCAGGAAGCGGAGGACATCAAAGTTGGCCATTTTTGCCCGTATCAGGAGGGGTATGGCCGAGTTGGGGGCTCCCTCGGGGAGCTCTTCGAGATAGAAGGTGATCTGGTTAGACCGGTCGTGGAACTTGTCGAGCGTGCTCATTTTTCCTGAGTTGTTGCTCATTAGCTCGTCGAACTTCCTTTTGACTGACCCGATCGTGAGCTTGCTCGGGGTTCTGCCTAAAATGACCATTGCCTTCTGAAAGTACTCCCACTGGCTGATGGGGCGTACAGGCTCCTCAGGCAATTGTAGCTCGGCAGGAAGACCGTGTTCTCTTAGCGTAAACCAGTCTTCAGGCCGACTGACGCTGAGGGCCACCTGCAGGCCGAAACCATTGTCGGGAGGGGGGGGGGTCCTCGCTCTTTTGGCCTCGGGAGCTTCCTGTCATGGGGTATTTCCTCCCCGGGTGTATCTCTTCAAGTGGTCGTCCTTGATGATTATTTCGATCGCGTCCTTCAGGTGGACGCAATCCTCCGTCACGTGTTTGTGGCTTCGGTGGAAGCGGCAGTACTTGGATTTGTCCATGTTGGCTTTGGGAGGTGCTGGTTTGGGAAACCAGACACCTCCGCGGACAAACTTCGAATTGGCACACTCAGCCAGTATGCGCTCGCGGGAAGCGACTAGGGCCATGTATTCATTGAAGCGGCCAATGGGGTCCCTCTGCTCTCGGGGACGATCCTTTCTTCGTCGATCTCCCCCATGCCGGGGGGGCTGACGCTCCTTCCTCTCGGGAGCCGCGGGGGGTTTCTCGATTGCGTGTTTCCCGGGCAGTGTTGGCGACTTCTGTTTCCTCGTATCGAATGTAATGCCGGGCTCTCTCGAGGAAGTCTTGTAGGGTGTCTGGCCGATGGATGGCCACGGCCTCGTAGAACTTGAACCCTCTCCGCAGACCTTGCTCCATAAGGTAGCACTTCATATCATCCGAGGTCGCTACCTAGACCGCCTCCCTCGTGAACCTCTCAATGTAGTTTCTGAGAGGTTCGTCTAGGGGTTGGATAATTGCACCCAGGGTGGCCTCCGTCTTCGGATGCCGTCGTGGCGTCGTGGAGTATTGTGAAAAGAGATCCTTCAAGACCCTCCACGACGTGGCGGACTCGGGCTCAAGGCTCTTGTACCAAGCCATGGCCCCTTTCCTCAGTGTTGTCGGAAAGAGCCTGCATTTTATGGCCCTCGGGACATTTCTATAGTCGAGAATGGCCTCGATATCCTCTAGATGATCGTTCAGGTCTGAGGTACCGTCGTACGTGGAGACCACAGGCGACTTCTCCATCCCGTGGGGGATGGGGGTCGCCATGATTTCCCGCTACAGGGGGGTTCTATAGTCATCCTCGTTGCTACGGACAGGGGACTGTGGAGGCGGCGGGTCGTGTTGTGGAGCCTGATTGCGTCCCCCTGGCCTTCTGACAGGGGCTTCATGTCTGTTCGACCTTGGCCCTGGGGAGCGCCTCTCCTTTCGAAGGGGTGACCTTGCGCGTTTCTTGGAGGTCACAGGTTGGGGCCTCTCCAGCTTTGCCCTTGGACGGGGAGAGGGGCTCCGAGAGTTCTCGTGTTGATTCCTCCGTGGAGGAGAGTGGGGTAAGGTATCCTGTTCCAGCGCACCGATGCGCTTATTCTGTTGGAACAACATCATATTTGTCTGGTTGATGGCTGCGAAGAGAGCAGTCATCGACGGGTCTGCTCCGGCTGGCGTGGGAACGGGCTGAAATATCGCCGAACTCCTCGCCCGAGGAACGACGTGATGTGCCATGTTCTCGAACAAAGGGAATGCAGTTTGGTCGTCCCTGATGTCGGTCTCGCGGGGTTGAGATATCCCCGGCTGGTTGTCGCCGTTGGTGACCTGGGCGGTGGCGGAATCGTGAACAGCGTCATTGTGGCGTGGGCTTGTCATGATCTTGGAATTTGAAAGGAGGAAGCTTTGGTTCTCTACTCGGAGGAACGGGGAAGCTTAGTTTCCCACAGACGACGCCACTGATCTTATCTGATCAGAAGGGAATCAGTGACCTGCCACGCGTCTTTGATCTGTTAGTTGCTCACCGAAAGTATGAAGGAGGAGAGTGGTGTACCTGAAACACACTCCGATGCCAAAGTAAGTGACGAGCAGGGTGAGAGCAAGTATAGGGAGAGAGTAAGAAAGTTAAGTTACCTGACCCTCTAGTTGAATAGGGTATTTATAATGAGGCCCCAACGCATGGCCAACGGTTACCTCGCGTTGGGCTGGGCTGCCAGGCCCAACGTTGGTAGCTGCTAGGGCTGATGTGATGCCGTGAAGGTCAGCACATGGTCTTCGCCCTAGGGTAACTGTTCCGCACTATCCGGGAGGAGGAAGACCAAATCTCCAGGACTTGGGTAGTTACTTGATGACGCGTCTCTGCGTGAGGGACGCGTAGAGAATGTGGGGGAGGCCAGAGGAGCTCCCCGGGCAGGCTGGGTTCTGCCCGACGGAGGGGAAGGGAGAGGCTGGTCGGTCAACTACGGGGGACCTGCTCGAAGGCTGTTGGCCTGTGCCCGACAGAGAGAAAGCTGTGCCCGACGGATCCTCTTCCCGTCCATGCGGTCCTACTAGGCCCAACTCCAGTGGGGTTTGGACATGCCCGATTGTGGGCTAAGCGTCAGTCCAGTCCAAAACAATATATATATATATATATATATATATATATATATATATATATATATATATATATATATATATATATATATATATATTTCAATTATAGTTCATAATAATAAATTTTAATAATTATAAAATTAATATAATTTAATGAATTTAATACTATTCAATAATTTATTTAACAAATGAGTTTAAATGGAATGCACGGTTAATGTAAAATAATTTTATACTATCATCCAATAAAAATTTATCAATCTGTTATGTCATACTATTAATTTAAAATTTACAATATAATTTGACGAAATACATTACATACGGTAGATTGGTTGATAGTGTAAAATTAATTATTTTACACGGTCAACTTATACCAATTAAATTCTTACCAAATTTAGATATTAACCGTAAAAAAAGATCTGGTATTATATAATAATAATGCAAAATTTCTATCTATATTTATTTAAATAAATCAATTTGGTAGTCTTAAATTTTTTTCTTCTATAATCTATTTTTGTATATAATATATATTGCTTTAGTTAAACTTGATTCCAAGAAAGCATCGTCAGCTATGGTGCCATCTAGCACGGAGAGAAAAAGTCCTAACATGAATTCAGAAGAAGATGATTCACGTTCCACTCTTCATTGTAATCTCATTCCAGTTATGCTATGTATCTGGAATTCTCTAATATCTATTCATAAATTTGCCGGAAAACACTTTAACCTGCCAACAGCGAAACGAGCATCAACAAACCCTAACATCATCATGGAATCACTACCCTCTCTTCCTTTTGATCTCGTAACAGAGATACTCTCTAGACTACCTGTCAAAATGCTTGTTCGATTCCGATGTGTCTGCAAGCCGTGGAATTCACTAATCTCCGATCACGATTTTTCTAGAAAGCACTTTAAATTATCAACTACGCGCAACCTCTATTTCACAAGCTATAGTGGTCGTTCTCGCCGGTTTGTTCTAAAGTCTTATCCACTCCAATCTGTTTTCACAGACCTAACTACCAGTTTCACTCGACTAGAGTTTCCATTTAACTGTCCTTATTCTTATGGGCACAATTTGCATTACATTGTTGGTTCTTGTGATGGAATCCTATGTCTTGCCTATATTCGAACCTCTTTTGTTGTATTGTGGAATCCTTCCATTAGAAAATTCAAGGAATTGCCTCTGTTTGAAAACCCTGAAGACCTACCGGCTATTAGACTAGTGGTAAAGTATGGCTTCGGTTATGATCATGTTTCTCGTAATTACAAAGTGGTTGTTCTTTACAACTGTGGTATTCACGAAGGCACAACTAAAATAAAGGTTTATACTTTGAGTACCAATTCTTGGAGAAACATCGGGACATTACCTTTTCCTTTCGTCTATAGACATTTCGATACATTACCTTTTCCTTTCGTCTATAGACATTTGGATGATGCATGCGGAATATACGTAAGTGGTAGCATTAATTGGTTGGCTTATACTAAATGGCATCATCCATTTTGTATTGTTTCTTTTGATTTAGGTACGGAGTCTTGTCAAAGGATTTGTCCTCCTGGAGGGTTAGAAATGCAGTGGTTGAGATTGTGTGTGTTGAAGGATTGCTTGTGTGTAGTTTCTCGTGATGATGTTTGGGTAATGAAAGAGTATGGAGTTAAAGAGTCTTGGACTAAATTGTTCGAACTTTCTAACTCGCTAGTTCAGTTTGTGCCGTTTTATATCTTGACCAATGAGTTATATATTTTTGAAGACGATAAAGTGTGGTTGGAGGAGAAATGGAAAAAGAAGTTGATCAAGAATGATACTTTTAAGGTTACTGCTAAAACCCTTCCACAAATCTGCACCGAAAGTTTGATATCACCTTGTTCTTAATGTTGTTAACGCTAGGATCTCACTTGAAAATTTTAACCATAATTTAAATGTTAATGCATGTTTAAGTTTTTTATTTTGTAATTGCTATGATTGGAAATGTTTTATGTTTGGAGTAACAAATTTGAAACAATATGCTCGCACTTGTTTTGTTTTCTTGTTCTTAGCTCTATAATTCTTAATTTGATACTAGTTGTGTTTTTGGAAATTCATAATTTGAAATTATCAGAAGAAGATGACAGTACTAATACATAATGGTTTGTTGAATGTTTTTGGAATACAGAAAGTTTATTCCCATAAACAAAACTTGTTTATGATTCTACTTGAAAATATTGGAAGGAAATGAACCTATGGTACTGGCCAATTATTCAGATATAAGAAGAATGGCTGCCACAAGGTTTCATCTTTGGTTTTAAACTCTTGTAGGACAGCATACTACATACTTTAGACTCATATTACAAAAATTTTATGCATGAAGATGAAGATGGAGAAAAAAAAAGGAATCATGAACACAAAGATTGAGCGAACAAAAGAATAGTGCAGCAAAGAGTGTATGAATAATGTATAGTTAAAGTATTGGTGCATGCATACAAAGGTTAGGGCATGAAAATGCTGAAACAAGAAAATGAATGCACGCAAAAATATATGGAGTGTATATGCAATTATGCATGAATGCAATCACACTTGGTCAATGGTAGATTTTTTTCATGCTAGAAACATCAGGTAACAAACATCAGCTATAATGCAAGAAGGAGTTGAAGACTGGAGGACTTCATTAAAATTCTTAGAATTAGATGAAATTTTTTTTTTAAAGATATAGCATCAAAACCAACATCAACGAAAAACGGAGGACAAATTTTTGGTTTCAATGTGATTATGCATGCATGCACTATTGGGGTTTCATACATTCCAAGTAGGGCTGGACAAGTTTTTGTTAACCGATCCAATCCGACCAAACCAAGAGGTCTGATAGAATACGGGCCGAGTATGGCGGGTAAGCGGGTCACCGGTTGGCCAGAAATTGGGTTACAATGGTTTGTTCCGGTTGGTTTAGGATGCTAACTTTGCGCCCATCGAAATCCAGAACCGACCGACCCAGGAAGGAAATGTTTGATTTAGTTTGAACTGAGCTTCAGACACTATAGATGGTTTGTACTAGAATTGGCCCAAACTGCACGTCAGAGTGATTAACTTAGGGTTTAATTTCACACTTTGATCTCATTTTAGTTCACTTTGTTGTTTCAAGCGCCTCCGACCGTAGTTGTTCATCCACGAGCGCCACCAAGCCACCCACAAACCACAACTGATCATGTAAGTTCTTTGTCTTTCTATTTCTCCTTCTCTCTCTTTCCGTCTCTTTCTCTTTGTCTCGATTTGTATTTGTTTGATGTTTGCAAACTAATGTGTGATGTTTGATATTGAAGTTGTTTTTGCTGTGACTTTAACGAATTTTGACTCAACTTATTTATATATGAACTGCTCTTAGAAGTTGTTTAATTTTTGTGTAATTAGTGTTGAAATTTGTGTTGAAGTTTTTGAGAAATTAATGTTGAATTTTGCTTGTGTCAATGAAATGATGTGTGTTTTTATCTATGAAATTAATGCTCTTAGAAGTTGTTTAATTTCTTATTAATTAGTCTTTGAAAATTTAAAATGATGTGTGTTTTTGAAGTTTCTATTCACTACAAAGTTATATAGAATTAGTGGCAGTATGTTTTTATCTAGCCTTTGATAAACATGCTTTTGAGAAGATGAAGTAGAGATTTTGAGAAGATGCAGTTCTCGAAATCTTGCTTTACTTTTTCAAAATTATTACATTTCTATGTTATTTGTAATGATATATTATTAAATTGAAACTATTAATATATGATATATGTTGTTGTTCTATTGCAGTTCTCGAATTCTTTGTTGTTCTATATACTGCTGTTCCATTAATACATGCTTTAGGGTGGATGAAAACCCTGTACCGTTTGATAAGGATGAAACGGACGGCATTCGATAGTGGAGACATACTCTTAATGTGAATTTTATTGCTGTTTTTGACACTACCCGCCTTGCGGTAAGCTTGAAATTTGTCCTGGTTTTCTTTCACGTATCACATTATCGATCACACAGTTAAGAAAAAAGGGGATTGAAACCTTTTGTTGTTGATTGTGTGCTTTTAAATAGATTAAAAGCATGGCAGCGTTGAAAAGGCCTGGGGTGATCATCAATTTGGGTTCTGCTTCGGGTCTTTATCCGATGTATCTTGACCCTATCTATAGTGGCTCTAAAGGTTTGTCATTTAACGATCAATTATGCATCTCCACAAAACTTATACTAACTTACTATAATTTTTTGTTTTCCCAAAAATTAACTTACTATATAGTTTACTAAACTGTTTCTTCGCTTCACAGGTGTTGTTGTTATGTTTACTAGAGCACTTCGTTTATACAAACGTCAAGGAATTCGAGTCAATGTGCTTTTCCCTGAGGTAAGAGTTGTTTTTGGACTTGAAAATTTTGATATTTTCAAAATAAATTATACTCTACATTACAGTTTACTATAATTAATCCCTGAAATATTAATGTTTAGTGCAGTTTGTTGAAACTGAGATGGGCTTAAAGGTGGATCCCAAATTCCTTAATATGATGGGGGGCTTTGTACCTATGGAAATGGTGGTGAAAGGTTAGTCTGCATATCATTTTGTTAATTGGTGTGCCTTGGCAAAAAGAGCATGAGTGTTTGTACTTTGTAGACTCTTAATTCACAATAAAGATGAGTTATTTTAAATTGACTGTGTGTTCTCATGGTTTTGTTCATTTTAAGATGAGTTATTTAGTTGTTTCATATTGCTGCTTACTGTTTGCAGAGTTGTTCATACCTTGACTCACAACTTTCATAATGCTACCAGCTTAGTGAGAGCACCACTGAGATTACCTATCAAATCAAACTTTGTTCTTGTTAAGATAATTTATGCTGGTGTAAATTCTAGTGATGTAAGTTTTTATATATTTCTAGAAGATTTGTGTGAATTTATTTTCTCAGAAATGATACTTTTACACTAAGGATGACACTTACACCGTAATTGTATACGGTTTTGTTTTTTAATAATCTTTAATAATTATTTTTTGCTTTTCCCTCACACCCACCAACTCTTGCACATGTTGTATTTTCTGCGGTGTAGGTGTAATATGTCTAATTTTTGGTGTAGAAATAGCACCCCTCTTATTTTCTAGCTACAATTCTGACAAGAATTTGTATTGATAGGTAAAATTTAGCTCAGGCCGCCATTTTGGTGGCAATAACAATGATACTGCGGCCCGTCTTCCATTCGATGCAGGATTTGAGGTATGATGTATCCCCAAACATAAATTTCTTTTATGAAGTTGATCACTTGATGCAGAATGCCTATACTCATATGTGTGTTGAATTTCATTTATATTTTAGGCTGTGGGAATCATTGCAGCAGTTGGGGACTCGGTCAATGACTTGAAAGTTGGCATGCCGTGTGCATTCATGACTTTTTGAAATTTGATGATGGGTTTTACTGCTTGTATGACTTTCAGATGTAATTATCTTTATAAGTTGCTTATGGCATCCGACTGAACCGGTTTCGGTTTTACTGTTGTTCATTCAATAGATATGTTTCCTATAGTTTTTTTTCCATTGCATTAATTTTGGAGTAAATTGAAGGACCAATTGGATACTGTGCTTGTTCTGTTTTTTTTAATATTACATGATTTGCGGCTGTAAATTCTTATGGGAGGAGTGTACTGCTAAAGTTTATAACTTGCTTTTTTTTTTGTTTCTGGATTTCATGGATGTGAAAACAAATCTTGATAGTGGTTTTCCAATAAATCCCTTTTCAAGAATCCAATACTGAGAATAATTTGGGTTTAGTCCTTCATGTTTAGAGTTGCAACCACTCTGTAGAATACCAATTTTGCACCCCTTTGCTTTTGAGTTAGCACCTGTTCCCAGATAGTTTCACTTTCGACCCTAGCTCTTGCTCTCTCCTAAACTTAATTGCAGTTTTGGAATAACACCTATTCTCACTTGACACACGTATACGTGTAGTTGTTATTTTATAGCTTTTGGATAGGTGTTTCAATATGATGGGGCTTGCTTTTTTGTAAATAATGATATCACAATGAACAATGTGTTATTTTTTATCATCTTTACTTGATATATCAGATGGTGCTTCATGCCTTGAACGTCTTGTTGCTGCATGTTTGATGATAACATTATCAATAATAGCTCACCTTTTGTTTCATTGGCATTTTTGCTTCCAGAAAAGGACTCTGTCCATTCAGTGAACTCAGATTTCGGTAGAAACGCATGAGCTTCTGCTCAAAGTCTAGTGTCAAACTCAGAGAAAGATCACTTCCAGGAAAATAATACTACATAGTTAAAGGTTAATCAAGCAACAATGGAGAATAAGAATACATCGGTCAAGGCTATGGATATAAAGAACAAGCAAGAAAAAGGGGTTCTCCCTGAAGGTTTTTTTTTATAATAAAGAGGCTGATTTGCGGGCACGTGGCATTAAGCCTGTTAAGCCAGATGTCAAGTAGGTTCCCAACTTATGTTGTTTGTGCATCCATACATTACTACCACATATAATAATCAAAAATCTAGTTTACATGGAATGGAAGTAAAGATAACAGAAATTTACAAATTTTACCTACTGTTATGGCACAAATTTCACAAGTAATGAAAAAGAGAATAGTGAATATATATTTCAAGTGCTGATTTTTATCTAGTGCTGGTTTTTATCTCACACACAGCATTTAAACTTCTTTACCATTCTTGTGCTTGCTTCGGTTAGTATCCACTTCATTATATGACTTCCATTATGCAGTCTTGCTATTGTTTCTAGCATAAACATGAACAATGACACTGTGTTTTGATATTTCAAAGCTTTTGAAACTTTTGTTAATACATGTTTGGATATTTCAAAGCTAATGTTTCTTGATCGGTTAACCGAACAAACCGATCCATTTTAACCGATCAACCGATTAAACCGATCCGATCAAATCGATTAAAACTTCAGCCGGAATTGGGCCTACAAAATCTAACCATGGTTTTGGCCGATTTGACATATTGGGCCCGAATCCAATCCAAACCGACCGATGTTCAGCCCTAGTAATGAGTAGAGGTGGAAGGACTACTCTTCATGGCTTTATTTTAGACTATCTTTTTTAATAATGATACAATTGTTGATAATGACATATAATTATTATTTTACTTTCATTTTTATTGATTTTTATTTGTTATTAAAAATTATATCTTTTTTTATTATTTCAATTTTAATGTAGTTTTTTTTAATTTTTTTAGTATGGTAGTTTATTCTTTGATTATTTCAATATCATAACATAAATATTAAATATATAATCTTTTGATTATGTTTTAAAAGATATAAGGGATTTGTCAAATTAGTTTAACAAACTAAGCAAACTAGACTATGACTCAGTTTAAGTTTGTTGAAAATTTTAATAACTATATTTATGTTTATTTATGCATTATTTTTTAAAATTATAAGAATACATTTTTTTATTATTATTTAAGATTATTTAGAGCATTAATTTTTGAGATTATAAAGATGATATATAAGTTTGAAATGCAACTAAAAATATTTATGAAATTTTAATTAACCAATTAAAACCTGTTTTTCCCATAAAACACGTGATCGGTGAAAATTTTAAGCCTTGAACTATGTTATTGTGATTTATCCATTTGCAATATCAAATATTGATTATGTTTTAATTATTAGTACTAAACATTTTTTAATTTTATAAAAAAATAACCATGAATTAAGTATTAAATTTATTTTTTAATAATTGTAAATGTAGTTTTTATTTCAATTTACGAATTAAAAAAAACAGTTTTTTACTCCATGTTTATAATTACTATTTATATATAGAAAAAACACTTATTAAATAATAATAAATGTGTTTTTATGTATCATAATTTTTTTAAATATTTATAAATTGTAAATAAAAAAGTATCTGCATTTTAAATTATTGTATGCTATATTTTTCATTAAAATAAAGAAATTAAATCAGTTTAGATGCATGTTGATGAAAAAAATAAATGAATACGATATTAATTAATGTATAATTATAATAGTGAGAAATAAAAAATTTACTTTTAAAAAAGATACTGTTGATTAAAATATTTTTATATTAGGAAGAAAATACTATTGTTATAAAAAGGAAAAACTTTACTATTGATTCAAACATTTTTATAAATATTGTCACAAAAAAATTTTGATTCAAATATTTTTATATATGGGAATAAATTTACTATTAATTCAAATATCTTTTTAAATAGTTTCAAAACAATATTAATATTTATATACGTGAAAAAATACATCATTGATTAAAACATCTTTATATAACCATGTAAATGTTATTGTTATAAACAGAAATAATTTTACTATTGATTCAAATATTTTTATAAATATTGTCAAAACAAAAATAATATTTTGATTCAAATATTTTTATATATGTGATTAACTTTATTATTGAATCAAATATTTTTATATACGGAAATAATTTTATTATTGATTGAAATATATTTATAAATATTGTCAAAACAAAAATAATATTTTAATTCAAATATTTTATATACAGGAATAAATTTACTATTAATTCAAATATTTTTATAAATAGTGTCTAAACAAAATTAATATTTATATATGCAAAAAATACATCAATGATTAAAACATTTTTATATAAAAGAGAAAATGTTATAGTTATAAACGGGAACAATTTTACTATTGATTCAAATACTTTTATAAATATTGTCAAAACTAAATAATATTTTTATTCAAATTTTTTTATATACGAGAATAACTTTACTATTGATTCAAATATATTTATAAATAATGTCAAAATAAAAATTATATATATATATATATATATATATATATATATATATATATATATATATATATATATATATATATATATATATATATATATATATATATATATATATATATATATATATATATATATATATATATATATATATATATATATATATATATATACACACAAAAAAAATAAATCGTTAATTAAAATAATTTTATAAACGGAAATAAATATTATTGTTATAAACGAGATCAACTTTACTACTGATCCAAAAAAAGATTAAGGCAGCTTATTCAAATAAATTGACTATATATTTTAAAATTGTATTTTCTCTTAAAAAATAATTGTCTTATTTGTAAAAAAAACTAAAACAACTTATTTATCCAATACATTTTTCAACCGTTTTTATTTTTAATCATATTATTCATAATATTTTAACTTAAATTTATTATTATTTTTAAGTGTTTTTTTCTATTTTCAGCTTTTAATCTTTAAGACAGTCTACAAACAAATACGCGTCCAAAATATTTTTTTTTTATTTTTAAAATAACTATTTTGGTTGAACAATTTTATTTTCTTAATTTCATTTTTATTATATTTTGAAAAAAAATGTGTGCACCATACCAGTACGCGTGCGATGCACGGGTATCCCACTAGAATGAGTGTGAACGCCCGTATTATTATATTTTTTTGTATAATTAAAGAAAATAAAATTAAATATGTTTAAAACAAAGACTGAGTCCAAACATAGGTAAAATGTGTTTATTTATGTTATTAATATTTATTTATATAATTAAAACAATATTTACAAATACTATGTTATAAGTTGATTTTTATAAAACTAAATGATTGCATAGAGATTTTTATTAATGATGGAAAAATAAAATTAATATTTACATAAAAATATACTGTTGATTCATATATTTGTATATATGAAATAATTATATTTATGCTATAAATATAAATAAAAATATTTTTTTAAATTAATAAATTTTTTTTGGTTAAATTGTTTTATCTTTTTATTTTTTATTTTTTATATATTTTTGAAACAAATGCGTCTAACACACCTTTACACGCACGAATGTACGTGTATTTCACTAATTGATGTTAAGAAGAGAAGAATGATATAATGCTTATTGATGTTAAGAAGAGAAGAATGATATAATGCTTTAGAGCATCTTTAGTGGAAGTAAACTAAATAGGTAAATTAAAATATTTTTTGTGGTTTGTAGGATTTAAAATATTTATAGTTGATTTGAGTTGTTTTTACTTTAAATGATGGTTGCTTGTAAAAAACCAAAACTTGATCCCATATTTTATATTTTTTTATATTTTTTATTCAAATTACCATTAATTTAATAATATAAAATAATAATCAGAGTCATTGAAATTTGATAGTCATTGAAATTTGATAGTATGTGTTGCTTATATAGTTGCCGAAAACTAATTGTTAGTTCACTTAATATCATGTCATTTTTATTCCAATAACTAATGTTACTATTAAATAATTTAATACTATAGAACCGGCATTAAAATGCTCTCAGGGAAGAGTACCCTTTATACTCATCATAAACATGCGTTTTGCTTATTTAAAAAAAAAAACGTCAATACATCTTCTTGATTTTAAATTTTGTTAGTAATTGATGTTTGTGATTTTATTGGTTATATTTATGAAGTCGAGGGAGTGTAAGGGATTTAAATCCATATAGATGCAAAGTAAGAATTTCTTTAAATTGAATTCCATTCAACTATTATAGATATTGAGTTTTGATGAAATGCAAATAGTTTGTTAAAAAAAAGTAATATAATATTAAAAATGAAACTCACACAAGTTTATTGTTAACATAACTTAATTTCAAAAACAATTCTAGGCCTTGCCGCCAAACACAGCCTTAAGCTTTACGATTTGTGCCTCATCAAGTAGAGTAGTCTTTGCAATTATAGAAGTTGATAGATCGTTCCCAAATAAAAGAGTATCATATATATGCACACCAGGACTTGAGCTACTTAAAGCTCCAAAAGTAACAGCTTTTCCAGCACCAGAGTTAATCACAAAATGCAATAGTCCTTTTGGAATAACTATAACATCGCTAGGTTTAAGAGTTTTCACATAAGCTTTTGTTGGTGTAATAAATCCAACAGTAACTTCACCTTCAAATATTATAAGTAATTCACTTGCATCTGGATGAGAATGTACTGGTACAGTTCCATTTACACCAATGTCTACTCTTGCTGCAGTAATATCAAGTCCATTAAGACCTGGTAAATTTTCCACGGTTGCGGCGGTTAATCCAGCGTTAAAAGGTGCTACTGGTTTTCCCTCCACCAAGCCAGAGAACACAAAGTCATTCACTGTTACATTTGTTTCTGCCTTGCATGGATAATGCCCTAAAGGGTTTTTTGGAAGTGATAAATCTGCTACACAGAAATCAGTGGCAGAAGAAACAGCATGGAAGGTGTATGATGAGAGAAAAGCATAAACAAAGAAAATAATATTCATGTTTTGAAATTGAGCTAAGAAAAAGAGAATTGAAAGATTTAGTTTGTTGTGATATTCTTACAAGAGAGAAGGAAGATATATATACTCCAAATATATTATTTATTGAATCAATCTAGAAAATCAAATTTTGCTTATAAAAGAGAATGAAATGAATATTAGTTAATAAATTTCTTTAATAAATTTGAAACTATTATTATTGGAATTAAAGATATGAAACTTTGAATATTCAAGATATTTTTTAAGATATTTGACTATTTTATTTTATTCTAACTTATTACTATTTACCTATGTTAAATTGTATAAAAGGTTATTAATTTAAACTATGATCCCAATTTTTTTCTAATATAAGTATATATATTTTTTATAGTATTTCTATCATTTTATAAAGAATTATTTACCATTTTTATAAATTATTTTATTCTTAATATATTATCAATAACTACTTCCTAAAGTTTTTTGTTTTTTTAAAGAAAGGTTAAATCTTTTTTGTTATAAAATGAGATATTTATCTATATATATCCGCTCAAAATAAATTTTCTTACATATCTTTAGACATATAACATCCTTATCCTTTTATAACTATTTATATATGTTAAATTAATTTTATAACATCCTTATCCTTATCCTTTTATAACATCCTTATTTTTTTTATAACATCTTTATATATATATATATATATATATATATATATATATATATATATATATATATATATATATATATATATATATATATATATATATATATATATATATATATATATATATATATATATATATATATATATATAGAATATATTAAATGTGATTTTAAATGAAGGATGAGAGGAACAAACAATAACTATTTGATTAAATTAATAAGAGAGATGAAATGCAAGTTAATAAGATAGATAAATTAATAGTCACATTAATGAATAAGTTTAATCATGATCTAATGATTCTTATTTGTTGTTCTTATCTTTCATTTTAAAATCTCTCTCACTTGATATGTCAAATATAAAATAGAGAGTGCATAGTTCAAATATAAAATAATTTAAGACATTGGAATCACCAAACAACATACACATACTTAAGTTTGTACATAGTTCAAATATAAAATTAATGCAAGCATATCACACATTATTCATAAAGTTTTTTTAATCCATTATTCCTTCAACAAAATCACCAACCTCAAGACATGTAGTATCATTTTCGGATTCAATTTCATTAAAATGTACTTTCTTCCCCTTTTTCTCTATAGATGGCTTGTTTCTTTTACACAAATGCTCTGGTGTTCTACATGTCTTAGACCAATGTCCTTTCTTTCCGCATCTATAGGACAAATCATCATGATTCCTCGAGGGACCCTCTTGGATATAAATACTCATACCTTGACGATACTTGTTAGTTTGGTCATATCTGGGAAATCTATAATTATTCACATAACTTCGTCCACAACCTCGACCATGAAAGTGGTTTCGACCGTGATATCCGCCTCGAGTAGGACCCTCAAAACGAGCATAACCACCACGTTTTTTATTAAGATTATAGTCACCGCATCTTTGATTAAATATTGTGGCATTTATATCAAAATATGTTATTGTTCCTGTGGGACGTGACTGGTGGTTTTTGATAAGGAGCTCATTATTTTGTTCTGCTACTATAAGGGTTGCAACTAAATCAGAATACTCAGAAAATTCTCTCATTCTGTATTGTTGCTCCCATAAAACTTGGGATGCATGAAAAGTTAAAAAAGTTTTTTTTTCTAATTTTTCTTCTTCAGTTATAACTATATATGCCACAAAATTCTAATTATGTTATGATTTGGTGCATGGCAGAGTTATATGCAATAACACTTTTATAATCTTGGAACCTTAATTTGTTCCATTGATCTATTAATGAGGGCAACAAGACTTTCTTCTGATGTCCAAATCTTGCCTTAAGTTTGTCCCACAAAATCTTGAGATCTTTTTTCATTTGAATATTTTGTTTGTAAACCATTGTCAAGGTGGTGTTTGATTATTCGATTTATTTTTGATTTTTTGATTGTCATCTCTTCTGAGTCAACAACTGACTTTCCTGTTATGCTTAAAATTTTGAAGTGATGCTTAACATTTGATTTACTTTTGATGTAGTTATTTCCAGTTATGCTTAAAATTTTGAAGTGATGCTTTACATTCGACATGATTCTATCTAGGATTCAGAAGATCATAATCAAAATTTAATATAGAAACAAAAAAAAAATCAATTTATTCAATAACAGTGATTACAAAAACTATGATTATGTTTTATTCAAAAACCTCTATTAATAAACCAAGCTAAGACTAGTAATGGTAAAACAATTAATATCATTAACGCTACATAATCTTTACCTAGTTTTTCATTCTTGATAATACCGATGAGGAATAAAACAGTGACAAGTAGAGTGATAAACAAAAGAAAATATTTAGTCATTTGAAAGATGTGGATAAATATTTGAGAATGATATGAATTTTGTGAAAGAAGTTGAATTATATATAGATAAATTTGTAAAACGGCCGTTATAGTTACCGTTAGGGAAAAAAAAGGCAAAAAGAGAAAGAAAAAAATGTCATCAAATCAAATTTAAAGTGTGTTAAATATCAACTAGCTACTACAAGGGTTTAGAGATAATTATAAGGTAATATATGAGGTTTTAGACCTCTACTAAAAATATAAAAGTTAGGAACTGAATATAAAAGTTATTAACAGAATATAAAAGTTAGGAACTGAATATAAAAATTAATAATTGCATATGGGACTTTAAACCTCTATTAAATATAAAAGTTAGTGACTGAATATAAAAATTAGTAACAGAATATAAAAGTTAGAAACTGAATATAAAAGTTAGTAACTGCATATGGGGCTTTAAACCTCCATTAAATATAAAAGTTAGTGACTGAATATAAAAATTAGTAACAGAATATAAAAGTTAGGAACTGAATATAAAAGTTAGTAACTGCGTATGGGGCTTTAAACTTCCATTAAATATAAAAGTTAGTGACTGAATATAAAAGTTAGTAACAAAATATAAAACTCAGTAACTGCATATGAAACTTTAAACCTCCACACAAAATATATAAAAGCCACACTTATTATAGAGCACTTGACAAATTGTCAGTTTTCTATAACAAGGGGTAAAGTAAAAATAACGATAAAAGTCATTCTAGTTATAAATCACTTGATTAATTGCCAGTTTTTTTATAACCATGGTAAATAAAAATTATAGGAATAATGAGATTAAAGTGATAAGTTTAGAAAATATACTTAGTGTAGTAATAACTTCCAATAGAAACGATTGTGCTGATAACGTGTTGATTAAAATCGACTTTAAATATTTGTTAATATTTATGAACTAATATAAGTTAATAAACTAATTTGTAACTATCAAACTAGATAAAAGATTGAAGAAAAGAGAATGTTTTACTTGTATTTTTAAAGTAAATTTTTGGTGTGTATTTTTATATTAGTCAAAGGTAGTATTTATATTATTAGAAATGCGACTATTACACTAATATAATAATTGAACTTACTATTTAAATTTTGACAAATTATATATCTACGATATTTTGTCATTACTATTTTGATAAATATTTCTAAATAATAATATTATTATTATAATACTAGTTATTATGTGATGTTAATAGTTAAATTTTTATTGTAAAATATATATTATCCATATCTCGTCAAAATAGACTTTCATACATCTCTTTATAAACACTACGCCAGAAATCACTTTTAGCAGCGCATAGAAAGACAGCGCTTTATACAAAAGCGCTGCTAAAGGGCCAGTAAAAAAAAAAAGAAAAAAAGCGCCTACCAAAGACAGCGCTTTTAAAAAAGCGCTGCTAAATGGTGGGCCTAAGAAAGCGCTTTTAAAAAGCGCTGCTAAAGGGGGGGCCTATGAAAGCGCTTTTCAAAAGCGCTGCTAAAGGGGGACCCTTAGAAAGCGCTTTTTATATAAAGCGCTGCTATATGGAATTGATAAGGCACCCTATGAAAGCGCTTTTAAAAGCGCTGCTAAAGGCCTTTAAAAGCGCTGCTATAGGTATTCATATTATAATTTTAAGGCACCCTATGAAAGCGCTTTTCAAAAGCGCTGCTAAAGGGGGACCCTTAGAAAGCGCTTTTTATATAAAACGCTGCTATATGGAATTGATAAGGCACCCTATGAAAGCGCTTTTAAAAGCGCTGCTAAAGGCCTTTAAAAGCGCGCTGCTAAAGGCCTTTAAAAGCGTTGCTATAGGTATTCATATTATAATTTTAAAATACCCTCCAGAATTTTAATAGAATCAGAACAGTCACGCTAACTATTTCTTCTTTCTCTGGCGAACGAAAACACGAACCAACCACCACTGTTCATCGTTCGACCATCGCCTTCTTCCGTCCGATCATCCTTCCGACCATCACCGAACGTTCACCGTCCGTTTTTGAGTTCATCCATCCGTCTGCATTGCCGGTCCACCATTGTTACGGTACGTGAAGCTTTACTCTGCTTTTCTTGTTTTTTTTATCTTTTCACCATTGTTGTTCTGATGATATATAGATGGTTTTTATCTTTTCAATGATGGTTTTTGTTGTTGTTGTGTTAGTTGTTGTTGTGTTAATATGATATATGAGATATATATGATATTGTTGCTGTTGTTGATGTAAAATAGTTTATATAGTTTACAATGTAAAATAGTTTATATATGATTTTGTTGTTGTTGTTGATATATGAGATATATTGTTGTTGTTGTTCTGATGATATATTGTTGTTGTGTTAATATGATATATGAGATATATATGATGGTTTATGTTGTTATTGTTGGTTTATATTTGATATAGATAGTTTATATAGATGGTTTGTATAGATGGTTTATATTTGTTATTGTTATTTGATATTGGTTTATATAGATGATTTATGTTGTTATTGTTGGTTTGTATTTGTTATAGTTGATATAGATGGTTTATATTTGTGTTATATAGATGGTTTGTGTTATAGTTTATATTTGTTATAGTTTA